TTTTTTTTTTTTTTTTTTAATTTTCACGAAAAATAATTGCATTATTTCTTTGAATCAGAATACTACGAATATATGAATCTTTATTTTTATATTAAAAGAGATATTATATGTATCATTTTTTATCTATTGAAAAATGCAGATTTATATTTTTATTGTCAAGTGTATAAATAACAAGTTCTTTTCTTTAGTTCAGTCAATGCTGCTAATTATTGTATCATAAAATATTTCATTTCTGTTTCTTATTTTTCTTTATGTGTTTCTCATTTGTTTCATTTTTTTTAAAATGGAATTAAAAAATTATATACATATATCCAGAATATAAAATATTCTTACCATCCTTTAAATAAATATAAATTAAGAATTATTCTTATATATAATCTTGCCACTGTATTTTTTTTATATGATATCATATAATTATATTATAAATTACTAAAGCACAATTATTGGTTTCATATCTGTTTCTTCTATCACATATAAATCATAAAATACTTGATTATATTATAAATCAAGAAACAAATTTTAAATTGGATTTTAAATCTTAAAATTGGATTTTACTTAATAAATATAATAAATGTAACAAGTAGTTTTTAACAATCTCTGTACATCAAGCGGCACACAATTCTCGGTGGAAAAAGACAAGTTTTTCTTCTGATTTATACATTACATTTGGAAAAACATTCTCGTCGGTATTCCTCGTCGCGTGAGTACTGGCGATTCGTTTGCGGTTTTCACGAATCAACTTTTTTATTCCTGGTTGTACTGACGTTACTTCGAGGGTTGCTAATTTATTTAACGTTCCGTAAACCTGTACAACGTGTATCAAAGCGGAATGCAAAAAAATTGCATTGTACACCATTTCAAATGAAACATATTATAGCTGGGCTTCATTTTTCTGATGTTTAAATTGATGTTGCTGTACGATGTTTCGTGAGAATAATTATCGAAAATATTGATAATCTAAATATCACGAAATGCGTTTATGATTCTTTTCTAATATTTAATAATTAATATATATATATATATTTGAGAGAATTTGAGAAAGAAAAAAGAATAGAATTCTGAAAAAAAAAAGAATTTTCTTATTTCATTTATCATAATATAAATCTTTAAAAAGAAAAAAACAAATACAAAAACGGAATAATTTCCTAAATTGTGTATTTTAAAGAAGAAAAGAAAAAAGAAAACTTTGAAAAAGAAAGAAAAAAAAAGGAAAAAAAAATAATACGTTGAAAATTCAGTTTAAACTCTTGTTATAAAATGTTAAAAGAAAAATTGAGCTTCGTGCTGAAAACGATCCGATATTCGCCAGCCGTGTCACGGATACGCCATCGAGGGTTAAGGATCTCCCATTTTGTTCCACCTGTTAGAAGTTGTTCCGCGGAAGGGATTCAAAGTCGTTAGGAATTTTTCTCTAAACCGTCGCTCGATTTTCATGGTAAATGCTCGAATGTCGTGACTTTCTTTCGTCCAGAACATAGGCGACAGTCCCTCTCTCGTGATTTTTCCTTATAGCTTACCCTATCCGATAAATTCTCGAAAAAGAACCGCAAGAATTTCCTGCTCTATTTCACACGTTGATTTTATCTGGTTCGCGCGTTTGTTTTTTCGACTGTGACATGATTCACTTGGCTTTGTGCACAGATTGTTTTATTTAAATAATCGTTTAAAGAAAAATTTTACAGATGCATACGTTATTGATAGGTGATTGAATATTTAATAATAAAATTTCTGAATACGAATGAATTATTATTGCGATTATAATACAATATTAATGTTAATTAAATGTTTATAATATAAAAAACGAATTGTGAATATTTATGCATAATTTTTCATAAAAATTGAAATATACAAAATATAAGGATATATATGATATATAAAAGACATAAAGTATCCAAAACAAAATACATATTATGATTTTAAAGATCGTAATCCAATATTGAAAACGAATTATATTTTAATAATCTTGATACAATTATATTTTAATGTATTGATAACAATAATTCATGATATTATTGAAGAATATCATTATTAAAAATAATTGATTTTCTAAAATTTACGAGTTTATTTGGTTATTTTATTAATTTCTATTAGAACCAGCCTTTATGAAAATCAGATAAAGATGATAAGAAGAAACAGTGTATGGAAAATTAAAGAGTTTGTCTCAAGATCTTAGGAAAATTACATTATCTTCCCAGAAGAATCTAAAAATCTTAGAAATTCATTTTATGAGACATGATTAGGCTTTCACGATTCGTGTATACCATTCGATCCAAATTGAAACAGTTTCGAGATCGTTGTTCGAGAATCGAAATGGCAGTCTATTAAATCTCGAATTATTCGAAATATGGTTGCCTTAATTTCCATGTTTCCTTACTTTATCGTCTTTTTTTAGATCGCACCAACGATCTGCATGAAAGGATTTAATTTGTAATTTCGAACAAACAGAAAAGGTATAACAGAGAAACGATGTTTTCGTGAACTTTACGAAGTATAATTTTCAACTAGGCGCTGATTCTTTCGAGTTTCAGCGATAGAACTATATTTCGTGATTCGAGAAATGATGCGATATTTTAAAGTAAGTCTGTGTTTTATCTACTTGATATTTTTTGTATATTTTATATATTTTCGTTGTTTTGATATCTAAAATTTATATTCTAAAGTCTCAATATTATTTATAAAGTAAATTTGCAACAGCATTTTATAATGATGAAAACGTAAATTTCGGGTAAAGTCGAAGAAATTCGGGTAGGATCGGAACCGATATTGTCGTGAAGAATATAAGAGTACCGAAGTCTTTTCCGATCCCACCCGAATTTTTCCGACTTGTTCCGAGCTATGTCAGAGCTTATATTTCTATGAAAAGGAAAGTAAAAAAGTTATATTTATTACTTAATTTCATATTATATTATTGTGAATATCATCTAGTGATATGGTGCACGATTTATTATTTCTACAATATTATTTATACAATCATATTATTCATACCATTGTATATTTGTTTTAAGAGAATAGTTTTGACAAAAAATACACAAAAAAATCATCAATGTCTTCTACATTAGAAAGGTAATATAATATTATGTATGTAATAAGCATAAATTTACTTTTAGAATGTAGATTGAATATTTGTTTTTTGCAATTTTAAATAGAATGAAGAATGATTGAGTTGGATTAAGACTGATGAATTGAACATGATCGATGCGAGGGCAGTTATGTAGATTGAGGTTATGTAGCGTTGAAATGGATTGCTGAATGCAGTTTGAACGTACGTATGTAGTTTATTATAAAATTGATAAAAGCCTATTTCTTTATCGGGGATTTAATTAAAGAATTTGCAATTCTATCGAGGAAGTGCATTCATAATAAACGGAGAACATTTTGTCGCGTTATATTAGGTTAAGTTACTTCGTAAACTATTTAAAAAATATACACAATGTTTTCTAACATTCAAAACATTTCAAGGATCCAATCATTAATATTATTATGTATTATGTATTATGTTTTACATCATAAGTAGAAAAAAAATCTCTTCCTTTTTAAACTCTTTAAACATTACATATGGTAATGTTCTTCTATTCTTTATACTTTTAATTTTTCACTTTTTATATCATATATATGTTCTTGTACATTTAAATTTTCCATAAAACATTCTCGATATAATAAAATCCAAAAAAAATCCAAGCAAAAAGAAAGTATGTAAATAAAAACAAATAAAAGAAGAGAGTATAATCAAGAAATGTGATTTTAATTACGAACATTGACTCTACTTTATCATGGTTTCGTTGACCATCTTTTATACACCTCCGCACGAAGTTTCTTGTACGCGTCTGTACAGATAGCACGATGAAATAAATTGCGATTGTTCGATCGCACGTGAGCACGAGTTACGGCTCTTACGATACATCCCTTTTCTTATACAAAGACATTGATAAAGTCTCCTCACCATTCGCGCGCAAGTATTTGACTTTTCGCCCGAGTGATCGGTACTTTGTCGGAGGAATAGCGCACGAGCCATCGATATCTTTCGAATAGAAAAATTCCATTCCACGTGGAAAAGATGCTCGTGGTGAAATGAAAGGGTTAGTTGATCGCGTGAAAACTTTTCGATGGATCATCGTTGATATATTAGAAATCGATGACGCAACGTATGCGATATAGAAATTTCCTATTCTATGCCGCGTATGCGTGTCATGAAGATTTTCTATTCAATGGCGATTGACGTGAACATATGCGTCATGAAGAAATATACATTCAGTTTTTTTTTATGCATATACTGGATATAAGAATTGTATGCATAGCTTTCGATTTGGATTTCGTTGCATTTTATTGTTTCTTGTACTTAAAATTAATATCAAGCCATTGGAAATCCTTCTCTTGATTTTTGATGCTGTTTCAAATATGTGAAGCTGTTAATTGATTCAGTTCTAGACGAAGAAAATGTTTCACGAATAAGGATATATAATCTAAAACCTCAAAATTAAATTATTCGTGAAATTTTATTCAAAATCTAATTGTAATAACAATCGTTTAAGAAATATATAACTTGACTAATTTATGTATAAATTAATATTATATTTTCTAGGATGAACACTTGTTATTACATTCAATTTTCTGTTTTTTTCTTTTTTATTCGAGAACCCTACATTATGGACCAATTGCCGAAGGGGCTTGGATATCCCAGCAGAGTCACACGCGTATGACAGGTAATTTCGAGATCGCCTTCAGGTATCGTAAATTAACGCTTCATATTGAAGCGTTTTTCTTCGATGAAGATTTATTTTCTGCACGCTTGTCACGTTCGACGTGCCTTTAAGCGAACCGAA